AATGCAACAATTTTTGAATCTAACATAGAATCTGGTGAAATTATCAAACCAGTATCAAAGTCCACATTTTTTTTTGAAATACCTTTTATAATTATCACACCAGCATCCAGTTCAAATAATTCTAATATGGCACCCGTTTTTCATGTTAATCAAGACTTTTCTATTGTACAATAGTACGACGGCTATCCAAATGAATCACAGTTTTATTGATGTTATTTCCATTTTTCTAAACCATTTCTGGAATCACACAAATCCCGAAAATTTTTAAAGTCATGCTTACACGAGGAATTATAAACAAAATTAAAGACTTGCTGCTAATGAAATCAATTCTTGTCTAAAATTTTGCAGATCAACGTAACGAAAACTCATTCACTAGAGATTTATTTAAACTTTGTCAAGCCCCAAACGGAAATTCTCATCAATTCCATCAAAAAGTCATGAGTCTTTTAAATACCATTTCAAATTACACTGAATTGCACATATAACACGAGGAAGTTAAACGAAGTAAAAACGAATCTTTCCAACAAGCTCTAACCACATTTCCTTCTGATAGAGTATTGATCTAGTACCTATCCCGAACCCAGTCTGTTGATCTGAGACCAAACCGTACCGTTACTAAAGATTGATTAGTCGCTTCCCGCTCCTTGCCATATTGAGTATTGATCGATCCGTCCACCTCTAAGCCAGATTATTTCTTCTCCTCGGCACGTGTGTATAAGTGTGTGTGTATAAGTGTGTGTGTATAAGTGTGTATGTATAAGTGTGTGTGTATAAGTGTGTGTGTGTATAAGTGTGTGTGTATAAGTGTGTGTGTGTGTGTGTGTGTGTGTGTATGTGTGTGTGTGTGAACTAACGCATCATAACATTAATTGTATTTATTTTTCACAAGTATTAACATATTAAAAGCGAAAAGCGCTGATTTAATTGTTGATTTTGGTCTAGAGAAGAAAAATGAAAGGACAGAAAGATTAAAACTATCTATAGAGGAAGAAGAATTTGCAATACTATATTACTTTCTTTAAACTATCATCCAGACGTTTGTATACTCGGATCTCTCCTCAAGATCAATCAGGAAACATAATAAGCAATCAAATTGATTACATTATAGTAAATAAGAGATTCCGTAATATAATCTTATTAGTTAAAAGTTACCCCGATGCTGACGTATCGCCAGATCATATTCCTGTTATTGATAAATTTAGGTTTAGATCTAAAAAGGTAACAAAAAGATAGTAACAAAAACTCTGATATAAGAAGACTTAAAGATAAGGAAATCAAGGAGACACTCACACAAATTCTTTTAGACAAGCCAAGTAACATGGAGCAAACATATGATCCAGAAGAATCACTTCAGAATATATGTGAAACCTTTAACAAGATCAGATCATCTAATAGAAAATAGAAATAGAAAATCTAGTTGGTTAAAAAGTTGGATTAATAACAACATACTGCAACTCATGAAAGAAAAAAGAAAATCAAAGAATAACAAAAGAATGTATAAAAATATTCAGAGACAAATAAGAACCAAAATACGAAGGGTCAAAGAAAATTGGTTAAAAACACAGTGTGAAGATATAAAGTTGTTGTAGAGCCTTCATAGGAAATAACAAAATTAATTTTGAAAATATTGCTATATTTAAAATGAGAAAAATTATAATAGAAGAATCTCTTAAGAACATACACAGAATCTGATAAACTCACTATATTAATAACGTTAACGCCTGGCAAGGTATGGTTAAGTTGTACTGATATCGTACTCCTAGTTTTTAATAAAAACAAGTGGTTTTATTAAATAGTTTTTTAAAATTAAAGTGTTTATCTACTAGATACTACTACGTAAGTTATCTATACGTAATTATTATTTTATTAGTGTGAAAAGAAAACGTCAATAATAAATATATACTACCGTACAATCATTTTGTAAGGTTAGCTGTTATAAGTACCTTATAGAAGCATGCTGTTAGTTTTTCACTTACCAGAGTCGGAGTAAGGCCTTCACCGCCATAGCTTAAAATGACTTCACAGAATGTAAACACACCTTCCGATCTAACCAGTCCAGTAAATCACCGTTCGAATATCACAAACAGTTATGCATCAGCCGCTTCACACTCTTTTCCGAGTAAGACCCAAGCAATTGTATTTAGTTGCATCAATAATGCTAAATTGCAGGATTATCTCATTCCTTTGGGCACAATCATCAACCCAAAAAATATTATTTTTTCATCTAGATTATCTCATAATAGAATCTGCATGTATTTGGCAAACAAAACCGTAATAGATAACTTCATGACACGACATGGCTCTATAGAAGTACTCGGCGAAGTTGTAACAGCACGAAGACTTGTCTCTCCAGCAGAAAGATTAGTCTTGTCTGGAGTCTGCCCGTCAATTCCTCATCAAGTATTAGTTGAAGAATTACAGAATATCGGTTTAAAGCTTATTTCCCCAATATCATTTCTGAAAATTAGCTCGACTCTCCCCGAATATAGCCACATATTGAGCTTTCGGAGGCAAGTTTATATAAGTCCTATAACATCACCAATTCCAGATTCTATTCTAATAAATTTCGATTAAACACCTTACCGCATATTTTTGTCACAAGGTACACTTACCTGCTTTATTTGCAAAAATACAGGACACATATCATCCCAATGCAATAACAGTTCAGTAACGGAATCAACTCATATTGAGTCAAACAATGAAGTACCAAATCAAACAGCTTCAAAAAGTATACTACACAAGGTACCAAACACCCAGCAGTCATCAAGTTATCCATTATCAAATCCAAACATATCACCTACACCTACAAATCTCCATGACAAAGAAATTACTAACGCTCCTACTCATAACAACACTTTCAATCAACCTCATTCAGTAGCAATACCGTTTTCACAAACTTCGGAAGCAATATCCTCCAATCTATTAGCTCCTTTTTGATTAGATACAACTGCAGAAAATTTTAATAAAACTGATACATCATTACATTTTTCTGAAACAACCATTTCAACCAATCTTACAAATAAAACTTCAAGCTCGAGTTCTGTCACTATCAATGAGTTTGCTAGAGTACTTCCAAATGTAATAAAGCCACAGCATCTAAGTGAAAACTCTAATAGCAATTACGAAAACGCAAGTTCTTCCATAAAATGCAGTATTGGTGAGATCGTCACGCCTCCTTCAGACTCAGTAATTTCATCAGAAAATCTGTTTGCAAAACCCAAACTCTCTAAACCAAAAAAAACCGCGCTCATCTAAAGTCCCATCTACACGGGAAACTCTTAAAAATTTCATTGATAATCATACCCCATCATTCGTTTTAAATTACCACCAATTGTCCTTACTGATTGATAATGTCCAAGGCTCCTCCGACACTATTAGCATCGTCAAAGAATTTACAACTGATATGGATGGTTTACTCCATATTTTACAAAGCAGCTATCAATATGCAAATGATAGATCGAGAAAAAACAAATTTACAAAACTTTAAAAGAAACTATACAACCATTTAGAGAAAGAGATTTCTGACTTAGATAGTGACTCTTCTGTAGACAATTGTTTTGTATCATCTAACTCCGAATCTGTTAACAACATTTAACTCGATACTTCAATGGAACATTGATGGATTTTTTCATCGTCTCCCTATGCTACAGCTTCTTTTATCTAAATATTATCCAGATATTATTATTTGTTATGAACATGAAAGAGGCGTCCAATTTTTTTGGGTTCCCTCACACGTCGGAATACCAGGAAATGAAGAAGCTGACAGGACTGCACGAGAGGCAATTTTAAGTGATTTGTCAAAGCCGATAGACAAGTGTGTTTCCAGTGACTTCGGACTTAGAAGCTTATTTTAAAAATAAAGTGTGGTGTTTGTGGCAAAATGAGTGGTCTCAAACTAATTCCAATCTAAATAAAATCAAAAATAATGTGTCTTAGTTGTTTTTATTGTCGCTCAATAGACGAGAACAAATTGCGGTTGCGCGTTTACACCTAGGACATACCAGATTAACATTCTCCTACCTTTTCACAAAAAAAAATCCGCCTATATGTGATCAGTGTAACGTCCGATTAACAGTCGAACATTTTTTAACAATTTTTAGTAAATATGACCAAGAAAGACAGCGCTACAAGATCCCAAACGCTCTACTACAGGCTCTACGTCAAAACTGTTCCTGTAACAATATAGTGAATTATCTTAGATCCATAAACATTTTGTACAATCTGTAGGTGTTTAACTTTGTTTTTTTTATATTTTGTTCCGTCGCTAATAACTTTTGGTGGATGCGACATCTTTTTCTAATAAAATAAAAAAAAAAATAACGTTAACCATGTTCCCAGAAAAATTGTATAATTTACTGTGTTTCTATATCCATAAAAACTGGTTTTCATTTCCTTTAGAATAACCATCTGGTCTGTTATACATATGTTTTGTTTAATCCTAAAATCTACCCTTGCTTAATATTACAAACTTTCTTTACAGAAATAATATGTCAGAGAAATTATACGAAATTCTATCAACGTATGAAATTACTTATGTTGCCGATTTAGTTGTAGTCGAAAGAGAAGACTTAATTCCTGGTATATCTGGATTTTTGTCCAAACATTCAGAAATATACCTGCTGTGGACTCACAGTTATGTAGGTACAGAGAATACACCAAACGAAAAAATGTTATTAGATTTTTGGTATTCAAAAAATAAATCTTTTGTATTCAATACCAACCTATATATGGATAAATTTACAAATCAGATGGGAAGAATTCTTAAATTGGGAACCATGCATTATGAACCATACAACATTGTAGGTAAGTTATTTTTTTTCTACTATCTGCTTTTATTTTCAATTACTTTTTATGCCATGAATTACGCAATAATGTGGTTTTTTTTGTCTTTTGAACTATTTGCATTTAGCAAATTTTAAATTTCCATTAAATTGGCATTTCAGCACTACGATTTCAGCAAAAAGCGTTGTTATGGCTTTGATGAATTGAAAGGAAAAAATATATGACGCAAGAACACAGTTTGTCAAACCTTTCGTGTATGAATCTGTATCAATAGAGATTTTTGCATAAACTTGCGTCTTCAGAGACTCGCGTTGATGCAAATTCACACACAGAACGGTTAGTGAATATCTCTTGCTCATTTCCTACTTCAAGTAGTTAGCTACAAAAGTGCCATCTACTCTGATGACTATAAACGAAAAATATTTAATAATATCTTATAAACTATAAGAAATTTGCAAAATTTAGGATTTCAGCAATAGCTTTCTATCGCTTTGATGAATTGAAAATTCAAAATTTTACCTTTGACGAATAATTGTGCTTTTGCGCCATTTATTTTGGGCTAACAGAATACTTCTTGCTGAAAAAAGCTTTTGCCTATTCAGACCATTTTTAATGAAACTATATGAATGGTGCCTTTTATTAATGTATTATTTAGATGGATTTACTCCCGAAGAATATAAAGGAACTGAGTCATCCGCTATGAAAATTTTTGCGAAAGAAGTAAACGCTACATACAAATTTATTATAAATGATCAAGACTATTGGGGAGATATTTTTGAAAATTTTACCGGAAATGGATTACTAGGGATGATAGCTGATGATACAGTTGATATAGCATTTGGTAAGTAAACAAATTTGAAGATTCCGTACAAGAAACATTGTCAGTTGATTTTTTAAATGTAAAATTATATCTTTCGTGAAATCGATTAATATGGTCCTCTTGGAGAAAAAGTTACTTCTTTAACGTTATTTTTATTTTTTATTACATCGCGTTATGATCAGTAATAGTTATCACCTGCCTGCTAACCTACCACAATCTGGTCATCGGAAAAAATAGTTTTGTCCTTGTCGTAGCCCTTTCAAATTTCTCAATTTATTTCCTATTATAACTGATGCCGTATTATTTGGATACCACTTCTGGGTTGGTCTTATTAACGAAGTTTTTATTTCTATGCTCTACAATTTACTTTCTAGGTCCTTTCTAGATCATTATCTCTTTTTTGGCCTATTCAACTGTTCAAGTCGACGATTAGAATAATTTTACATCGCTTAGGAATTTAATAAAAATTAAAAAAGTTGTTTTAAAGTTGTCTGTTACAGTTGTCATAAAGTAGAGCATACATAACACAGGCCTACTACAGACCACGTACTGATTGATTTAAGACATGGATCAGATATACTAGACTGCAGAAATTATAGAGGTGCAAATATTGACTCCAATCACTATCTCATAGCTGGACGTCTCAGAGCACATATCAAACGCCAGGAACGATAAAACTAAACCAAAAATAAACAAATATAATGTTGATAAATTAAAGTGTACTGAAGTCGTAAGAAACTTCCAAATATGCTTAGATCGCAAAATATCAGAATATCCCAGAAGTGAGGTATATCCCACTGAACTTAACACAAATTGGGAGTTTATGAAAACCACGCTCAAAGAGACCGCAGAGGAAGTGCTGGGTGAAGTACCCAAAGGACAGCGAAACAACTGGTTTGATGAGAAATGCCAACGAGTAACGAAAGAGAAGAACGACGCGTATATAAAAATGATCAACAGAAGGACTAGGAGCAATATTGAAGAATATCGAGTAAAGAGACGAGAGGAAAAACAAAAACACAAACAGAAAAAGCAGCAACAAATCAATAAAGAGTTCGAAGAAATGGAAAACCTTAATAGAGAACACGAATACAGAAAATTTTACAAACAGGTCAACACAAAAAGAAAAGTTTTCAAACCACAAGCGAACCAAGTCAAGGCCCTTAACGGAATTCTTTTAAACGAGAGAGTGGAAGTACTAGAAAGATGGCAGGAACATTGGAAGAAATAAACAAAGCAATTCAGTCTCTAGCCAGAAACAAGTCACCCGGAGCAGACAACCTAGCAGCAGAAATATTTAAATGTGACGGTCAAACATTTGTAACCCTCCTTCACAAACTACTAATACAGGTATGGCAAGAACGCGCGTTACCAGAAGATTGGAATACTGGAATTATATGCCCCATACACAAAAAAGGAAACGTTACTGAATGCTCCAACTTTAGAGGGATTTCCCTTCTTAATACAGCATACAAAATTGTGTCCCTGATACTTAACCAATGACTGGCACGGTATACTGACAATATAATAGGATCCTATCAAAGAGGCTTCTTGAAAAACAAATCTACCATTGATCACATATCATCTATCAGACAAATATTAGAAAAAACGACGGAGTACGACATAGACTGCCATTACATCTTCGTAGACTTTAAGGCAGCGTACGATACTATTGACAGGTCCCAATTATATTCAGCGATGATCGAATTAGGAATACCAAAAGATTTGGTAGAATTAATTAAAATGACAATGATGAAAGTTGAATGTATAGTGCGCGTACAAGGGGATGTTTCAAAACCATTTAAAACCAACAGAGGACTACGCCAGGGAGATGCGCTATCGTGCACGCTGTTTAAACTAGCGTTAGAAAAAGTTATAAGAGATTCGGGAATAAACTTAAAAGGTACGATATATACCCGTAGTATACAAATAATGGCATACGCTGATACTATCGTCATAATTGGTAGAACCCAAAATGAAGCAGTGGAGGTTTTCACACGTATCAAAAATGCCGAAGAAAACATCGGACTTCTGATTAACATCCAGAAAACTAAATATATGCCGGCCATATCAAGAATTCAACAAAATAACTTAGAGGTGCAACACGAAACGATAGAAATGGTAGAAGAATTCTGCTACTTAGGATCACTGGTAGACTACAAAAATAACACATCCAACCAGATAAAAAAAAGAATATGCGTGGCTAACCGCTGTTATTTCGGCCTGGGCCCTCAACTAAGAGCGAGAAGTATGTCAATAGCAACAAAGTGCAAACTTTATAAAACAATAATACGCCCAGTGCTCACATACGGATCGGAAACATGGGCAATGACGACCCGAGATGAAGAGTTACTACGAGTCTTTGAAAGAAAAGTATTGAGGACCATATTTGGCGGAGTAAACGAACAGGGTCTGTGGAGAAGGCGATATAACTTTGAACTCTATAGACTTTTTGGTGATGCAGATATTGTGAAGACCATCAAGATAAACCGCCTAAGGTGGGTGGGCCACGTTATGCGGATGGATGAGAGTGATCCCACTAAAATAAATATGCTAAATAGGCCGGTCGGAAGAAGAAGAAGGGGGCGACCTAAACTCAGATATCTGGACGATGTACAGGAAGATCTGAGGGAGATTGGAGTGGAGAAGACAGACACTCGATAGGGAAGGATGGAAGAATGTTTTGAAGTAGGCCAAGGCTCACGAAGGGCTGTAGCGCCAACTGATGATGACTATTCATTCGAAAATATCCATAATATTTTCCATCGTTCTCAATTAATTCTTTGTATAAAGTCCAGTATTCACCTTCCTTTTTCCTTTCTTTTAGCATTGGATATATTTCAAACCTTCTTTTTACTACAGTTTTTCTTTCTTCATCGCTAAGTAAAAGAGCAATTGCACATAATTTTTGTCGCGAAAAGCAAGAACATATCTTCACCGCACCAAAATGAAACGTTCTATATTTGAAAATGTGAACGCGCAGTCCGATTGCTCGACCCGAAACGCTATGTGCCGGAAACTATATGTGCAGGATAATATGCTGCGACCTTTAAGGTATGCCACCACTCCTTTCCATCGCAGGACATAATAAATTGAGAGGTTTATGTACTGATCGTGACTTTGGATGACCTGTGTAATATGACATCCTTTGTTTTACTTTGTGTGGTTAGACACAAAAAAGTTTACCTAATTTTAGGGGTAGTTAAAACAGCTTTTCTCCCTATAATTGACTATATTTACATTCATCACATGAATTTGGGACTTGTATCCCAAATTCATGTAATAAGATTCCAAAAAGTGTGTGTTTCGGACGGAGAACCCAAGTTGATGTTTCTCTATCAGAAATGTATGTGTTCAGTTCGGTGATATTGAGACTACGCGTATCGTACGTGACCTTAATGCTCAGGTTTCACGACTTTTCTGCTTTAAGGGTAATATGCCTGAAAGACAGTTTGCCTGACGACAAAATTGCCTGAAGAGCCTTTTGCCTGATATGCATCTCGTGTATGTATGCAACTGAGAATCAGTATTCACTTAATAAGTTTGTGTCGTTGAAATGGCTGTAGTAACAGAACATAACAGTTAGTAAAGCAACACCAAGTATATATTTTGGTGTATTTTTGTTATTTATTTTGTAACTGGTTAGTAAAATATAAGTAACTAAATAAAAGAAATAACCTATAATAAAGGGTATAATGGTAATTTTTTTGGAGAGCTGGTTTATCTCTGTATACAGCTAGCTGTTGCCTGTATTTTTCTTTTAGTGTAGCTAGTACTACTCGCTCTGCAACTTTGCTTATTGTTAATAATAAGCTTATCCGCCTGTCAGGAAAATATCTTAATCTTGGGATATTGTTGATTAAGTTTGTGATGTGTTCTATCGCTTTCGCGGGCAAATTATTTCTATGTTTGTGATCTCTGGTCCTGATACTTTCTTGTCGTTAATCAGTTTGATCAATTATTTGATCTATTCTGCAAAGGTGTGTGTTATGCCTATTATATATTCCATTTTGAATGTTTTGGACCTTTTTTTACGATTTTTTTGATCAGTTTTTTTCATGGACGTATAAACATAGATGGACACAGCAATATAATACCTTTAACACACAATGTTTTGAAGCTTCCATAGAATGTGATGCTTCCGCAATGAGCATAAGCGTGCTTGAATTTTTAGTCGCGGGTAATTATTCAGATTTTGAAAATTGGAAGTAGTAGGTAATAATGTATAAAAACACGTTTTAAAAAGGTACTAAACAGATCTTTTTTACAATTATTACTTACAAATTGTCTGCTTACAATTTAAAAATGTCTACTAATTTCATGAACTTATATCTTATTTAAAACATTATTGAACATGAATAAACCCAATGGTACGCCTATTAAAATGTAAACAAACACGCTTCCTCATTTCCTAATCTTAAATAATGTAAATTGTATGTACTTACAAAAGAAATGAGAGATCGGGATGTAAATATTTCGTTTATTTGATTTCACTTTTCACAAATATCACTCAAAATACAGCCAAAATATCGAAAAACAACTTTTACTAAAAAGCAAACAAACATGGAACAGCATTTGAAGTTCGACGTAGATCCATAAGAGAAATGTAAACAACCGTTGCCATTTATAAATAGTTTTCAGTGCTTCTACATATAAAATAATTGATTTATATCTATTATACGCTATTATTAAATGATAATGCACACTATGTGCACACTTTATATTTTGATTACAATTAAATATATTAATCAAACCAATAAATTATTATTTTGGTTTGATAGTACATGTAGAGTATACAATACGGAGTAATATTTTCAGCGACTCGCGAATAAGACATTTTAAAACAAAACGTGAAAACAGTTGAAGGTGCTGAGAATGTGACCTATTCAAATAATTTTGACTTCACAATTTTATGTAAATAACTGAGTCTATCTGTGTTTATACGTCCATGGTTTTTTTACTTTCTCCGCTTTGTTTGTCTTTGCATTATTCTTCTTTTTTTTGTAAAATTGTATAACCAGTATTTTCATTCTCCGTTTTTATTTCTTCAGGTTCTTTTCAACTGCTATCAGGGTCAGGGGGACACTGTTTCTCGCGCAGATCAGTTAGTATTATTTTTTGGTTTACTAACTGATTTTTATTTATTTCTTCTTTAACTATGTTTCGCAGCTTGGCCATCTGAGCTAGCAAACCATACTTTTTCTGTATTCTTTATGTAGGTGTTTGTTTTCTTTATCAATCCTTTTCATCTGCTGAACCAATGTATCCATTGATAGAGCTATTTCCTTATTGCTTTTTAGCTCCTTGCTACGTTTTGTTTCTTCTGTACGCGAAGAGCTTTCTCTAAAACGTTGTCTTTTTTTGTAATTTTTTCTATTTTTGCTTCACGGCCGCTTGTGCTTGTACTTGTGCAGTAAGAATTTGCACTCTGACTGTCAGTCATAACATCCAATCAAAATTATCAAGATCAATTAAATTTTTATGCACATATTGAATATCTGCTCTTGAATCGAGCCTTAGCCTCCTCCAAACTATGCCTCCAAACTTAACGGTCTTGCGCTGGTCTTCTCCAGGTGCTTACTTCTAGCAAATTTTGCATGTTCGCTGCTACTTCTTCTTCCCACCTTTTCCCTGGCCTTCCTCTTGGTCTTGCGCCCTTCATTTTACTATCTAGGGCCCTTTTTGGCAATCTTACAGTCTCTATTCTCATTATATGACCAACCCATCGAAGTCTCTAAAGTTTAACGAATTCTTAGACCAGTGCCACTTTGACCAGTTGGTAGAGTTCATGGTTGTACCTGGATCTCCATACTCCGTTTTCGTTTATAGGTATAAATATCTTCTTTAGGACTTTTTGTTCGAAGACTTTCAGCTTTCGGTTTGTGTCTTCTGTCATCACCCTGGTCTCGCATCCATAACATACTATTGGTCTGATAATAGTTTTGTCGACCCTGATTTTCGATCTCCAGTGTACGTTTTTGGAGCGGAACACATGGGCGAGTGAAAAGTAGTAATGCCATGTGTTCCGCATTATTTTTCAATATCTACTAAAATACTATTAACTTGTTCTTAGTTTACTCTACATGAATTTAAATCTAAGTTTATATCATTTGATTTCAAAAAATTATCGTTTAATTGAATTACTTTTAATTTCGAAGGCGTATATTTATAATTTAAATGTCTCCATATATCCTGAAATTCAATATAAATGTGTTTGGAATGTAGTCGGTGGTGTAATTTATTATTTAAAACTGTAAAAGCTTTTTCAATGGTTTTAAACTATAATATCATTATATTAATTATCATTAATAAATTATATTAAAAATTTAACAAATTTTATTTTCAGCTGCTATGGGCCATTGGGGGAAACTGCACCCTTATGTAGATTTTTCGGTGACATTTGTAAGATCAGGAGTCACATGTATTGTACCAGCACCTCTGTAAGTAACATATGATATTACTTTAAAGAGTAATACAAAACATGCTCTTTTCGAATTAATACCTACTTTCTTCTTTCTCCATAGAGTTACCTAGAGTAAATTACTTTGAGCGATTTATTAATAACAGCTTTATTTCCATAATTCTTAAGTTTGGAATATCAAAACAATTATAACAGTATATCATTATAACATAGATATTACACGATAAAAAAATAAAGGTTGTGAAAATAAAAATATTAAAAAATGTGTCCGTTGATTTTTATTTGACGAAGCAATTTGTTTTTAAAACAAAATTGGATCATTTAGGAACAAACAACATTTCAAGGTTGATATCGCATCAGATAAGACAATTTAAAGAACGGGACTCTAGAGAATTATCATAAATGTTTGCGGTAAGATGAATAACAGGCCAAAGTCGTCATGCTATTGACATGCTTTGCCACTAAAGGACGATGTAAAATATCTATTAATAGGTATCCAGTTATCCTTATAACCTTTTTATGCAACTCTTTATATCTGGCGTAGCCATTAGTTCTGTAAGGTCACCCGTTAAAATTCATTCACAAATTAACAAAAACAGCAAGGACTGAAAAAGTTCGAACAAGTGGGCATAAATGGCGCAGCAAGAAAAATGTTTAAGTACATGTTAAAACTAGTACTATTCCTAAAATAGTCTTATCAAGAGGTATTCAAGCCTATCCGACAGCCTCAAATATAAATGTAGGGTATATATAATTATGTAAAAGATATTTTAAGTCAAGGTACGGAAAATACTGCGAGCTCAGACTTGAGCTTGTATCCACTTTGGGAAACGATTAACATAGGCCAAATATGTAAATAAAAGGATTACAAAACTATGATTTTTGTCATATAGGTACGTAAAGCTGTACAGAAAGCTTTTTAAAAACTAGCATAACCTATATCTGTTAACAATAATTTAATCAAAAAGTTGTAATAGAATCTGTTTGGATAGATTAATTCTAGCTCGGAGGATCAGCAACAAATCTTAACTCAAAGTCATAACAATCTTATACTTACTTTTTAGTTTTTAAAACAGATTATAAAACTTATGGACGTTTATAATAAATAATAACAAACAAAATTTTTAGGTTAGCAGCAGGTTGGCTTACACCCTGGTATTCATATTCTAATAGTATGTGGGCACTGGTTGGTGCTAGTTTTTTTACTTGCATTGTTGTGCACTTTATCATGTCTATGCTAAAAACTAAAATGCTTATTGGCAGGTAAGGTATTTTACATTTTATGAGTATCAATTTTCAGGATTTAACATTTATGTCAGGATTTCCAGACAGAAATATTAATAAAAGCGACCTTACTGATAAAAACTGCGAGAGGCACTTGGGGAGTGTCGACAGAAGTGAATACTTCTTATAGCGTGTTATTACTATTTACGTTTTCATTTACATATAATCATTTACATTTTTATTGTTATCTTGTATTTTTGTTTAATTTCTTTATTTTAATTAACATTATATTTTATTATAATGAATAAACAAAACAAATAAACCGGAGGTGGCCCTCTGGGAGTGACCGGGAATTTCTTATCGTCTACGCACGGAGCGATGATCTTTTATTTATTTATTTAAATAATAGTTTATATTATATATATATATATATATATATATATATATATATATAATTTTATGTATTTTTTTAATTTTCTTTAATTGTTTGTAATTTTATTTAATTTAATATTTGCTTTATTTTAACATCGATTCTTAACATTCTTCCACTCTTACAAGTCATTTGATGACTTGTACCTTGCTTTAGCAATACTGTATAGCCTTTTTATCCCCTGTGGTATTTTCAACTCTTCATACAGCTGTGCACACGATCTTTCCTTAGCAGTAGCTACAGCGCACTTTGCTTTCCTATTTGCTACCTTACGTATGTATATCCTTACCGTATTATCTCCCCTTATTATCTTACTTACCGTATTATCTTACTTAAATATGTCATGCTTCATTTTTCTGTGTAGCCTTCTATTGCCCTTCATCGTTCCACCACCAATTTTTTTGTCACTAGGAGACCCTTTACCAGATGTTTCTACTACCACTTTTTCTCCCTTTCAAACCACAACTGTACTGTTGGCTTCCCACCAAACATTTACCCATGTTTTTTCTCAAGCTCTTACAGTACTCTACTCTTAAAACTCTTGCCAAATCCTTATCTGTTAACTTCCACCACTGTACTTTCTGGTATCTTTCTTTCTTGCTTTTCTTTCCGCCTTATCTTTATCTCCGTATTAATTACCACCGGTCGGTGTTGACTAGCTACACACTCAACCTTTATCACTTAACATTTGGTAACATCTTTAAGCTGACTTCTTGTATACAGCACAAAAACTATCCACTTTCTCTTTCCCCGCTATTATAGGGAATATAGTGGTCTTCAGTCATCTTAAAGAACGTAATGACAGCTAAATCTTAAGCCATTGCAAAGTTAATCAAACTATTTCCTTTTTCATTTCTTATTCATGTCCCTAAACCTTTATAATCCCGCGTTCTTTCTCTACCAACATGTCCATTCAAAACACCGCCAAGAAATCACTTTTCTTTTACAGCAATTTCGAGCAAATCACTATTAAGTACACTCCAAAATTCCTTCTCTTTCTGTTCTTCGCACCCTACCTGTGGGGCGGAGGCACATCGGATGTTTACGTTATTATCGCATGTATTTAGTTGGTCGCTTATTCTTCTATCACTTCTTCTGATTACAATGATAGTTACCGAGCTACTTAATCCACCCAGCAACAACCAGAGGCGGGGTTAATAAACTACGAAACTTATCCTAGACAGAAAATCATTGTCGAAAATAAAGCAGCTCGCCTTTTTATACTTTATAAAAGATTAATAGATACCTATATATCTATAATAAAGAGGTAAACAATTACATTTTTTAGTTCAATGGATATGACTAAGAAGTCATTTGGTAATTCCATTCTAGTAGTGGTAAAAATATTTCTCGTTCAATTTGTCGATGATGTCGATTCACCTCCAGGAAGATATGGGACGTTATTTATGGGATTACTTTTTATGTATAGTCTTTTTCTGTCCAGCACCTACAGTAGTGGATTAGCTGCAGTTATGACATTACCCAGATATGATCATCCTATAGAAACAGTGCAAGATTTATTGGATAGTGGTATTCCGTGGGTTGCGCCCCACGAAGTTTGGATTTATTCTATATCAACTTCCGAAGTGGTAAGTTTTTATTTTTAATTCGTTGATTGGTTAAATATTTTTATATTTTTTTCTTGGCAATTTTCTTAAATATTTTGCATTTATTTTACACCAGATACAAGGCTAAAAAATAACTGACATGGTACTGTTGGACACTCTAGTCTTTTTCCTTATACTCAATGATAATATGCGCATATCAGATAGTATTTTATTTGTATTATATATAAAAAGATTAGGTTAGCCCAAAGAATGAGGATATTTTTGGTTATAACACTATACGTAGCTAAGTTCTAATTGTGGATATATTTTTCTTCTTCCTCTTCTTTATGTGTCGTCTCCTCTCAGATGTTCGGCAACCATCATAATGATTCAAATCTTTAATGCCGCTGCTCCGAACAATTATGTAGAACTGCAGTTGAACTACGTTTTTAGATCGTGTGAAACCATAAAATCCGTCTTCTACCTCAGCTTCTGCATCTCTATAGTTTCCCTTTCCTAATCACCTGCAGCACTTCGTACTGTGTACCTTTCATCTTATCCTTTTGGTGCCCTACAGTACTGGAGATTTGAGATTACTACATCAAAATGTTCTCTATTCTGCACCGCTCTTAGTAATTGTTGAACGTTCATGTCCGTCCAAGTTCTAATATTGCAAAAGCCATGATATGGTTCTTATGTCTACTACTCTTCGGCCCTCTATCTTCCTTCAATTATTATTCGTAACAGGTTATATGGTCATTTCTTATTACGTGACGAAAGTACGAGGTCTTTCTTTTCTTAATCGTTGTTAGAACTTCTAACTCTCTATTTATGGTGTTTTATACTGTTCGATTCGAAATGTGTTATGTCCATGATATTCTGAACATTCTGCTATAAAGACACATTTTCAAGGCTTCTAGCCGTCTCATGGTATTTAATTTTAACGTCCAGGCTTAAACTCCATATCGAAGGACTAACCAAACGTAGCATAATACTTAAATCGGATGTCTTAGCTTAGTTTTCGATTATAGATAATTTGCTTCCATTTATTACACATGTTAATTTTTATAATTCTACTTCAAAGTATCTGAATTTGAGAACTTTATCTAATTAAGTGTATTTAGGTCTATGTGACAATTTTCATCGGTTTTGTTAATCACCATTACTTTAGATATTTGTCACCATAAAAAGAATAGCTCGAACAAATTGTAAGTATGTTGCTTAGAATAGCGATCAATGGAAGGCTATGAAAGGGGAATATGTCCAAAAATTGATGATAGAAGGCTAAGAAGAGGAAGAAGTGTATTTTGTAGGTCTTCCATTTTTTCTGCTATCAGAACGGTATCGTCTGCATACCTGATATCTTTATTGAGTTTTTTATACCAATTTCGGCGCCGTCTAGTGCTTCTTTAAATATGCATTCAGAGTACAAGTTAAAAGCAATGGAGATATAATACAGCCTTGTCGGACACCTCTTTGTATACGGACGCTTTTAGTAAAGTGGTGGGAATATTTTAAGGCTGCCTCTTGGTTCCAATAAACGCTAGCGTCAGTTTCTGTAGTTCATACAACAATTTTTCATGCTGAACTCTATCAAAAGCGTTTTGCTAGTCGATGAAAGAGAGATATACTTCTTTGTAGTAGTGTGGTCAATTTTTGGTTTGTGTTGCAAACAGCACTTCTCTTGTTCCCAAAGCTATTCTAAATCTGAACTAAGACTCACTTATGTCCATTTTACATTTTTTTATAAATTCGAGTGTGTATGATCTTTAAGAATATTTTTAGTGACTAATTAAGCTAATGAGCGTATTTGTCGCATTTCCGTAAACTAGATTACTTTGGTATAGCTATGAATTCTAAGTTAAGCCATTTCTTTGGTATAACGCCACATTTATATAATATGTTTATGTTTTATATTATTATTAGAGCGCGGAATATATGCAACATTTTTTGAAAAAATATGCGCTTATATATGCATCTTTTTTGATTGACAAGTCAGTATAAAAAACATAATCAGATATAATTATTTATCAGTAAAATATATTTAGACATAGAAAAGGTTCTTTATCTTCTTCTGATCTAATTGGATAATACTGAAGTTTTGGCAGCATACATAAGGCCATGGTACACGTTCGTCAGAAGGCTTATTTTCGTAGATGTTTTTGACTATTTTTAAAAATTTAAACACTTAATTCTTTGTTAAAATTACTTTCGCTTTGTGTCTTATTTACACTTGCACTTTGTAACAAGTCCCAACTTTGAACCACACTCTGAGCGTCGTCCTCCATGTCCAAAAGTAAGTCTTTAGCGGCATCAAAATGTTCAGCGTAGAATATAACCTCGTTAATCCACGTTCCCTATCTGGTAATTACAGGTTCTGATGGTATACCAACTCAAGGCAGTCTCTACCTATACATCTGCGCTCTTACAGGGGCTTTGATTAATACTTTTGTAACATTTGAAATTAGCTTATTTACTAACGAAAATTCTGTTTTATGGTTTCTACTACTCGGTTTATCCCGTGCAGAAGACATGTTACATGCACCAAATTGGGTTAAATACTTTAAGGTTCTGTCCTACTTTTACCATATAGGGTGCGGCATTAGATAGAATCATAAACAACTTTTCTTCTGGCACTGAGTTTGAAAGAAAGAAGCTTGATAGAGACTGCTGTATCAATCTGGATACCCTCACATTATTGGTTTTGTCCAACTGCTTCAAATCTATTAAGTATGAGTTTGTAGAATTATTTTCTTGAAGTGCTCCAATTATCAGATGTACGATATATCTACCACAAGCATCGGTACTATCATCCACAACGATGTAGAAGTTTTTCTCACCAATTGAAGATTTAATTTAAATAATTTAACATTTTTCTTTCTGATTGTCGACTCATCAGGAATGATTTGGTTGCAATGCGTTTGTAAAAAACATGTAAATTGGGGATGCTGAAGTTTTCTTAGTGGTATGTTAGCTGTCATCATAGTTTTACACAAGTCTTTTTGAAAAAGTTCCTTATCCGACTTAGATTTTGCACCCCCATTTTGAAATGCGTTTTTAACATTCTGTTGAAAAAGCGCACATTTCATTTTTGCAACCTTCCCGATATACAGCGCTGTTTTTAAATTCTAACTCAAAAATACTCTTAATGTACGTCGCAGTTTTTACTTTTTTCGCCATTTTTAAAACCGATCAAACCTTGCTATATATGTTAACACACCAAAGCTTTTCGACAAACTGAAAATACTAAGCTGAGTCTAGTTATACCTACCAAATATTTAATGTGCAAACCAACAACCGTATTATAAGATCATAAAAGCCTCATTAAAATGATTTTGCCCTGCATAATAAGTTGTACTAATGCGTATTTTTGCCCTCTCATCACATGTCTTAAGTACTCAAGTTTTCGTCTTTTGATAGTTACTATTATTTCCGCCTCATTTTCTATCCTTCTAGCTACTTCCACGTTTAATGAATGATGTACAAGTAGAGTATAGTAAAATTGTAAAGATGGATTTTTTACCACCCTAAATATTAACCCAACAGAATTATTGACTTCTCATAAGGAGTAGTTGAGAGGTGAATAATTACTAGTGTGGTAATAAATTTGCAAAAACCTAACATAGCACTGTGGTATATCATAAATATTTTTTTGGAATTCTACTAGCTTTAAACTTGAGCCAGCATCCTTAAGCTTAATCCTTAACGGTGGTTTGTTGGTGAAAAATTATTGGGGATGTATTTATTTTTTTTTATTTTATTTATCGTATGGCATACAATAAAAACACACAATTAAAAAATCAATATAAAACGTTACATGAAGTATTACAAACGAACATCTAATGTATTATTAATATAATGTAAAACATTTTCGGTCGCATTCAGGAACTCATCGAAAACTCCAGGGAATCGCCTTCGGGGACATTCTTCAACAATGTGACGGACGGTCTGTCGTTGCGCACCACAGTCACACTCAGGAGTAAGGGCTTTTCCCCATCTATATAAGCTGTCAGCACATCTACCACTGCTTGTTCTTATTCTGTTTAGCGTTGTCCATGTATTGCGGGTCAGTTCAAAGCCTGGCGGTTTCTGATCGATACAGGCCGTTTGATGTGCTTCCTGTGGTGAGTCGCTCTCCCATTGTGTTCTTCAAGCTTTGGTCAGGTTGAAATGTTCCTGATGTAAGGAGTTGGCTCTTAGCAATGAAGGATATCTGGAGCGCAGTCTGTTTATTTCGATATCAAGCTTATCTTGGTGTATGGGTAGTTGATGGTTAGCCTCAATTTTTCGATATTCTCTGAGAAGAAAATGACTTCTTCGCAGTTTCGGCGGTGGAATGTGACTCAAAATGGGAAGCCAATAGTTCGGTGTGGGTCTAATTGTACCTGAGATCATTCGCATTGTCTGGTTTAATTGAGTGTCAATAATCTTTGTGAGTTTGCTATTGAGCAAACTCAAACTTTTCAGCTTTGCTGTCGTTCTTTGAAGATGTTCTTTAAAATCCAATGTTCTGTCCAGAGTCACTCCAAGATATTTTGGTGTTGAGTTATGAGTGAGCAGTCTGTTTTCGAAGTGGATGGAGAGTTTTTTGTTGGCTTGGGCATTATTCAGATGGAAACAGCAAACTTCGGTTTTCGTTGCATTAGGCCGTAGCCTCCATTTGCGAAAGTATTCTCCCATAAAGGCAAGGTCATCCGCTAATATTGTTTCTGTGATATCCATGTTATTATGTCTCGCTGCAATGGCCCAATCGTCAGCGTAGCCAAATTTCTGCGAAGTTGTCCTAGGTAGGTCCGCGATATATAAATTGAACAGTAAGGGTGCCAAAACAGATCCCTGTGGCAGTCCATTGCTAAGATTCATTTGGAAACTTTTAGAATTGTCTATTGTGACTTGAAAAGGTCTGTCGGTGAGCATGTTATCAATGAGTTTAGTTACCTTTTGACACGGGACGGCAAGGATTAGCTTGCAGATTAGTCCTTGTCTCCAGACAGTATCGTATGCAGCTGATAGGTCAATGAAAGCAACGGATGTTTTTTGTTTTCTTTGAAAACCAGCGTCAATATGTGTTGTTAAGGATAGGATCTGATCTGTGCAGCTGCAGTTAGGTCTGAATCCTGCTTGCTCAATAGGTATCAGTTCAAATACGTTTTTACTAATTCTGTTGTAGATTAAGCGTTCCAACAGTTTATAAACACAGCTCAGCAAAGCAATCGGACGGTAGTTTTGAGGCTTAATATTTGCCTTTCCTGGTTTTAATATGGCTATAATGGAGGCCTTTTTTAATGAATGGGGGATTTCTCCTGATTTTAACATATCTGTATAGAAATCAGCCAGCCATTTCCTAGCATATTTGCCACAGTGGAGTAAAAATTCTGGATGAATTTTGGGGATTGGAGATGTAAAAATATTACGTAGGTTAAATTAGGTTCCGCTCATTTGTCCCTGCTAGCTTAAGGGTCCTAAAATAGCCTCGCTTTTAAATCTTTCAACTTAGGCGCATCATGGCCGGCCCGTTAAAAAAAATTCATTTAATCGTAAACTGTTAATCTTTTAAGTGGTTCTATTTGAATTGCTTATTTTTTATAAACCAAGCCCCAGTGAATTAAAACAAAATAGATAACTCGAGATTTAAGGGTAGTAGGATATTTTAAAATATTAGCATAAATTTTTATTTCATTGAATGATTTAATTCGATAAAATAAGGCTTAACCTTTAATTTGGTGCTTTCAGAATTTATGTAGGCCTGATACTTTGGCATAATAACGTTGTAAAATCAAAATCAAAGAATCAAAGTTTTTTGTACATTTTTAGAAAAGTTATCAATGATTTTCAAAAAATCAACAACTTTTGCAACAATAAAGCAACAAATTAATCAAAATGACTTTACAATTTACAATTTTAGTTTTATCCTTAAATTCAACAATTAAATCATCCTTTTATTTAAATATATCGATAAATAATTTTAGAATAAACTTGCCGGTATTTGAAATATGCTCAACCTCAACGGCATCATAGAAGTAATCAAGAATGTAATAGTGCTCGCACTAATATCGTTAACATCAACATGTTCCTCAACGTTGGCACATTTGAAGTGTACGGTAGATTGGCACAAACAGCACTTTACAAACGTTTACAAACTTTTACATCTTTTTCAAATTTTCTACTATATATTGCACACTTTTGATTCAAATTCGGTGGTCGCCATCGTGAATTGAAAAGCGAAGGAAGTTCGGAGAAGAAAGAAGAGCACAAATGGAATCACAGCTGACCTTAAAACCATGTGAACGGTAAATATTTTAACAGTGTGAATAACTATATAATATAAAGATATAAAATTATACTGTTTTTACATTTATTTAATGTCATAAAGCTTAACTTAGTGTGTTTGTAATACCACTAATAGCTTTACGAGGTTGATTGGTTGCTTAAGTCTGCCACTAAAAAAAACTCCTTATCTGATAATAAAAGCTAAAAAGACACCAGCGTGATGTAGCCAGCACGACTATCAAGAAAAAATAAATAATAATGCCATTAAAAATAAAAAAAAAACAGGAATAAAAATTAACGGTCATTCCATTAAGTCCTAGAAACAAGAGAAGGATTTGATAATAATAATAATGTTACATTTATTTAAAATAACTTTGTTTCAACACCAACTTGTTTACAATACTTTAACAGAATAAAAATTCTGTTAAAGTATTGTTCTCACTGTTATTCAAACTGTCAACAACATCTGTTTATATACATATTTGGACATTCCAGACTTCACTAGCTATTTCAGGATTTTTTATGTGTGGGATTGTATAATTCAACTGGGTCACCTCTTTCGAATGATGTACCTGTAGCATGCATGTCGAGCCTGGCCTTGGCTTTATCAATTTTAAGCATCAAACTTTTACAAACAAATTCGTAAAAATTTTCCAATTTTTCTTTCAAATTTCCAATGTACGTCAGGGACGAACATTCTTCTTTACAGAGAGGCAATATCAAAAAAAAATCTTGAGAAAGCTTCATTTCTCTTTCAGTGATCATCAGCGATGGAGAAAAACCGGTTGGTCCATTTTTAATAACTCTAAAGGAACTCTATGACTTAATATGATGTCTTATAAATGATTTTGCAACTGTAGGCGCTTCTTAATAAGGAAAGGTGCAATTTATTCATTAATGCGTACGTGTGCCTGCTGTTTATAATATAGATGTGTTATAATTCGAAGGTCATTGTGTTGTAGTTGTTTTGCTTTGAGGATATCCATTAGCTCTTTGTGGCGGACTTTGTCGAAAGCTTTGTTGTAGTCTATGAAACAGACGTACATATCTTGGTTCACATCCAAGCATCTCTGGATTAGTACGTTGAATGCAAAGAGAGCTTCACGGGTACCTACGCCATTACGGAATCTAAATTGAGTTTCTTCAATATCCATATCAAGTGTTTTGTAAATGCGTTTATGAATGATCTTTAAAAACAATTTAAGTGTGTGAGACATCAGGCTTATGGTACGGTGGTCGGTGCATTCTCTAGCATTTTTCTTTTTTGGGAGATAATTTTATTAAAAAGCTTTTAAGGATATCAATAGGCAGTTGATCTAGCCCCGGGCTTTTCCGTTTTTGGTGTTCTTTAGTGCCTAACCTTTTAGGACCTTTTCTAGCGTAACATAAATCGCATTTTTAGAGCAATCTTCTACATCTTAAAGATAATTGATTCAGTAAAATCTGTCTGGAATTCTGGCCAGTCTTTTTCATCAAGTAGTTCATTAATTTTGTGTAATTTTTTAGCTGTTAGGTAATCATTATTTTTGATTAGTTGTTTCAAGAGGCTGGCGTTAACCTAAAATAATTTGAAACTGCATTCCTTTTAGGTATTTTTTGCGCATGATTATTTTTTATCGGAAAACGCTTTTTAGACAAATTAACAACCCTTACCAAAATCATCTCATCTAACGGGGTACCTTACTATCAAAATTTCGTCAATATCAAGTTTCTTGCTATCCACAACGCCGAGATGTAGACCGTGAGGTTTTTGACATAGTCTCGCCAAAACGATACTTTCAGAATTTTTAGGAATTTCTGTATTTTCGCTTAGTATAACTGTTACTTGTGGTATTGATTTTTCCAAATTTAGAACAACTTCTTTATTTACAATATACACACTTTTATTCTGAAGATCTATGATTAATTTGTTTTGCATAAAATAAACCCCAAGAACGCATTCATATTTAATATCGGCTACAAGAAATAGGTGTTTTATTAAGAAGTTACCAATTGGTAAAGTTGGAGTTATCTCTTCATGTATGTTTAATTTTAATGTCTGTATTTGCCTGAATTTTAAAAATTGTTTTTAAAATTGTCCATTTGACCACCATATTTGTGGTAAATAATATTTAATTAATTACTTGTTTATATCTACTTTACAATGACTACATCAACTTAATAAAGGAGCAATTTTATTCCTACCATATATCATTAGTGCCATTTATGGGCTAATCCGTAACTTTTCTGATTAGAATGAACTAGTTTATTTTGTTCTTTTATTTTGCACTTTTTTGTTACAAATATCTTTAATTACAAATAATATGTTTCAGCCTGTATTTAAGGCAATTATAAAAGCGTTTTTGGCAGAACCATCAGAAGAAAAAATGCGAGAATATTCTAAAACACGTGACTACACTTTTGCTTTAGAGAGATTACCACAAGGTAAGAGCGTAAACTCATCACACCGTAATCGTATTCATTAGGTTTTATATGTATTCTTTCCTAATTTTTCTAAGCTAATACCAACCTTAAGTTGCATTTCAATGAGATGTTTAAGTGCTTAGGATTTTTTACTTAATTTATTAATTTAATATAAGATATCCCTAAAAAAGGTATTTATTAGTCATACTCATAAAAATAAATATATAATTAATTTTAATAAATAAAAGGAAATTCAGACAAACAAAAAATTCAAACGAAGAGTTTGGAACAAATTTACCACAATAGATTTGCAAGGCCACACTTTGCTGGAGGTCTCCAAACATAACGCTATATGGACTGCATTTAATACCTTTGTGTGTTTTTTAGGAATATATCCATAATATATTTATTAAATTTGATTATTATTTTTAGGTGCATACGGTTTTCCCTCATATATTCATGAAGACATAATTGAAAACTTTAAACTTCTTAAAGAAGATTTGTACTATGAACAACTTGTGGTTATCGTAAGGAAAAGTTCAGTATTAATCCCAGTTTTGAACAAATATCTTTCAACGGTTTATGAAACAGGCCTTATCGCCTATTGGCAAAGTGAGGTTTGTATAAGACGTAAAGTAAAACAATATTTTCAGTTACTTCGTACTTACTGCCACGACTTCTTACAAACACATGCCTTATATATATATATATATATATATATATATATATATATATATATATATATATATATATATATATATATATATTGTTATGATGTTTTGTTTGTATATAAGCAATGAGTGTTTAAAATATAATACATGAGTATAGGGTTTTTATCGCGGTTCTCAAAGAATTAGTTTGTAAGTACTTTTTTAAATTATCTTTATTATAACTATTATGAAACAGACATATATATCTGATACAAACAATATAAATTTACAACCTATCTAAAATTTGAAATTCTTCCAATAATTAAATTATATTAACAAAATTTGGTACCTTTCTATCACTGAATGCCTAAAGTTTTACAAAATCAAAGTTACAATCACCACTAAATATCTTCTTAATCAGCCTCGGTTATCCTTGTATTTGTGAAATTGCATATAGATATTGTAATCTAAAATTCTTGTAATCTCCATATAATATATTATACTCCTGTATTGAACTGTCTATATTGAATTAATTTACTCTCATACTCTCCAACTGTATCTGACTTAATGAATTCTTCTAAGTTAATCCTTTCTTCTAATTTAATTTAATTATAACTGTCTTGAACTAACTTTCTTGATGAATCTCAATTTAATTGTAACTGACTGACTGACTTCAACTAACTTAATGCCTTCTTCTAACTTAATTTAACTTAATCACTTCATGAATTCTTCTAACTTAATTTAATTTAATCACTTCATAAATTATTCTAACTTAATCAATTGTAACTGACTGACTGACTTCTTAACTGTAACTTAATCAGTTGACTGTAAATTCATGCCTGACTGTAACTTAATAATTGACTGTAACTTAATAATTGACTGTAACTTCATTCTTGAATTCTTCTTACTAACTGCCTGCTCCAAATTACCTGGTATTTGTATTATTTTATGGTTCCAGACTTTTCTAGCAATAAACCATGTTCGAAACTTTTCATCTCATCCATAGATGAAAGTTCTGGAATCATCGACTATGCAAATAGGGCTAACTGGCTTGTATATTGACGTTTTCCAGAAAATTCTAGTGAGAATCTTATAGACATTTAGGCTTTTCAGATCAGAATACACTATTATATATAAAATAAATATCTTAAACTACTATATTATCACTATTTTACATCCGTAATAATATTTAAATTAAAATTCCAAACTAATATTTAACCCCATTTTTCATCTGTCACTTATTTAGTTCAAAAATAGGCATCGTCATGTCATAGACAGTGTATATTTGGTTGCCTATGCACATGGCTCACTTAAATATATTTATTTATAAAATAAAATAAAATAAAAAACTTTTTAAATTTAATCCTATGCTAAATTTTCAAAAATACCCTCATATAATTATTTTTTAATAATATTCGCTAGTATATGACTTATAAATTATTTCTTTAACCACTTTTTAAGTAAGTAAGGATCACTCAAAAAGTGGTGGGTTTTTCGGTCAAAAGGTGGAAAAAAAAGACAAAGAAGGTAGCTACTTCATCTATGTATTGAAGACGTTCCGCTTTCTAATCAGGAAACATCATCAGTTCATCTAAAAAGAACAGTATGAAAAACCAAACATCCATAGAAAAGTAAATACAAGTGCGTTACCTCAAAAAGACATGTGGCAGTAAATGATATTACATATGTAAAGAAGCTTACGACAATGGACATTATGAGATCATATTGTATAAAAAATTAATTGAAACTAGATACAGTTTACAAATTAACAAACTAAGCACTGCAAAAGAACATGTGCATAAGAAATATGTAAAGAACTAAAAAGATCATAAGATGCACTTCCAACAGTATATTATTAGTTCAATTTAATTTTGACTTTAGGTATACATTCTTGAATAGATTAAGAGTAATTAGGTATTGATGTATCTAATGTTTTAATTTTATCAAAGGCATTGGTGTGATCAACTGTCCAATCAAAGAAAGTATCTTTCTTTATTAATTGCCTTAACTTTGACATCAATTCTGAAAGACTGGGGATATACTTAGTTGAATAGTTTAACATACCCATTACTCTGAGAAGATCTTTTTGGATTTTTGATTTTATAAGCTTAAAATAGCTTCTATATACTGAGGATCTGGTTTAACATCACTTTTAGAAAAAATTGTCCAACATACTTAACTTTACTTACTTTGAATTGAATTGTCTCTTTATTAAATTTAACTCCATATTTTATAGCTCAATTTAAATCCTTCTGAAGAATTCTATCATGTTTCTCTTCTGTATCTGTAGCAATTATGATATCATCAAAATATATTCGTATTTCAAGGTCTAAAACATTTTTTCATTCATCCTCTGAAATACTTCGGGACTAGCATTAAGACCAAACTGTAACCTTTAAACCAATATTTGCCAAAGAAGTTGTAAAGGTATATTATTTCATACTATCCTTATGTAGTGGAACATGATCGAAACCCTTCTTGAGGTCAAGTACTGTAAAAATTGATTTACTCTTTAGCTATAATGCCAATTCATCAACAGTGGGTATTGAATATTGATCGTTCGCACACTGTTCTCAACCTTCTTATCAAAGATCACTTTACATGCTTGCTTGTGACAGAAACAAGCTCGGCATGTAAAACCTGATACCAAAAGAGAGCTTGTGATATTTTTTACAAAATACAATATCAATATACAGAGTAGGTACCACTTATAAAAATACGAACAAAATTATGTATTTGAAAATAGTGATCACATTGTATGTTGTATAGCTGAATTTCAAAGATATTAAATTGTTTAAAAATAACACAATGATAATTTTATCTTAATTATTTTTCTTTTAGGCAGTGCTTCTGTTTGGAAATACACATATGTCAAGAGCTGTACAAAGCAACACGCGAACTAGTACGATTGGTAAATTAAAATGGACTCACGTAGAAGGAGCATTTGGTGTGTTAATATTTGGACAGTTAATAGGGTTTCTAGTGTTCCTATTTGAACTTGGAGCTGCTTGGTATAAAACTGGCAAAGAAACTATCAAAGACAAAGATAATCAAAATCGAATGAGAGAAATTTACTCAGATGATTTATTGGATACAACCATTAGAAAGCTACAGTAAAATATTTAATGTTATATAGTAAAGAAAACGTATTAAATTATATAAGGGCACCTAGTAAAAATGTTATAAATACACCAATAAAGCAGCATTGAAAAACATAGCTCACTTCGTTTTTTTTTAATCTACCACAAAGAATTGAAAAAATCCTGCTTAATTGATTAAACAAGTTTTAAAATCTTTATTCCATTCCTTATTCCGAATATGCTCGATAAAATCTATTTACAAGGAAAGTCAATTTTTTTTTCGTAAATACAAATCATATCACCGTTTCTTGATTAGTAAATTCATTATGTTGTGGTCCCTATATTTTATATAAAAATGGAACTTTTTTAAAATCACCTTACATACTAGGTACTATGTCATCTAGGATATACAGAAATTATTCGCCGAAATATTCTAATAAACTGTTTTAAATAGACGTGTACAGAGTATCACAAATTGGTATGTTTTGCAAGGTATACCGAAAACTAGAGGAGGAGATAGAGAAAAAGTAGGTACATAGTTAAGATGTCATTAGGGTCAAGTGGTGCAAAAATGAGACAGCCGAAATTTCGGTCAAAAACAAGACATTCAATTTGTCCTAATGCAAAAAAAAAACAATAACCTTATAAAAAAAAACTTTTAAATTGTGTATACGAACTTTTACTGTTGCGCTGCTGTACGAGATCCTAAAGACTCGGCAGTATCGAATTTCTAAAATAGCACATAGTATGATATTGACACATGTCAGTTAAAAAACAAGACGGATTTTTTATACCTTTAAGAATAATGCCGAAGGATTACGTTCCCAAAAAGCGCCTCTACGACGAAAAGAACATGGAAACAGCCCTAAAGCTAATAGGGGATGGCACTTTATCTCTTAGAAGTTCAACTACACAGTTTAAAATTGACAAATTTACTCTTTCGAGAAGACGTACCCGTGTTCTTGGTAAACAGGGAAGAAAAACTTCTCTAACCAAAGAAATTAAAAAAGACTTAAGTGATAAGATAAAGACAAGAGAAGCCTTGTTTAGTATACAGGTGCTAGTACAAAGATGCACAGATAAAAATCAAAATGTGTACATTTGTGCAATCGATTTTGAAAAAGCTTTTGACAAAGTCCGACATAACAAAATGCTATAAATATTGGAAACAGCTGGATTGGACGATAAAGATCAACAAATAATTACAAATCTATACTGGCATCAAGTGGCAAGAATAAAGGTTGAACAAGAACTGTCGGATGAAATAAATATAAAAAGAGGAGTGAGACAAGGCTGTATATTGTCGCCTTTACTTGTTAACTTAAATTCGGAGGAAATATTTAAGGAAGCCTTAATGAAGACAACCGAAGGTATTATTGTGAATGTAATAACCGTCAACAATATTAGATATGCCGACGATACCTTAGTCCTTGCCAATTGCGAAGAATACCTTCAAAATCTAATGAACAAAATAAAAAAGACTTGTGATCAGTATGGATTAAAACTCAACGTTAAGAAAACTCAATATATGATAGTTAGCAAACAAAATTATATACAGGATAACGGTATAAAAGTCGAAGATGCCACACTGGACAGAGTAGAGAAACTCGTGTATCTCGGCAGTAATATCAATGAGAGCTGGGATCCAACCGCAGAAATTAAAAGCCGAATAGAACAAGCCCGAGCTGCCTTTGTAAAAATGAGAAACGTACTTTGCAGTCACGATCTTAGCATTGACCTTAGAGTTCGTATGACATCTTGCTACATCTTTCCTGTCCTGCTGTATGGAGTGGAAGCGTGGACTCTAACTGAGGCTATGCTTAAACGCTTGACAGCCTTTGAGATGTGGGTATACAGACGACTACTGAAAATAAGCTGGGTCGACAGAGTTAGAAATGAGGAGGTCCTTAGACGGCTGATCCAAACAACACAACTGGTCAATATAATAAAGAAACGCAAGCTGGAATACTTCGGTCACATTATGAGACACCCTGAAAAATATGATCTTTTACGACAACAACGACGACAACAAGAAGCATGGAAAGACCTCAAAAAAGATGGATAGATGACGAAAGAGCAGTGGCAGGCAAACAGTGGATTAGATTGGCGCAAGATAGAGAAAGATGGAAGCAATTGGGAGAGACCTACATTCAGGAGTGCTATTCTAGAGGAACTACATCGTTATTTAGAGCTGCTGTCAATAAAGTCACGATAGCGTATATGGTAGCCATAATGATATTCAACGATCGATAACGGTCATGGAACTAGAAGAAGAAGATAAGATAAAATTTATGGCCAAATGGGGGTTTGCTCTCACTAAACCGGAGATACAAGCAATAGTTCAAACCTATGTACAAGAAAACCACCTTACTACTCAGTTTAAGGAAGAAAACCCTGGCAAAGAGTGGTTTAAAATTTTTACAAGCGTAGTAGACTAAGTCAAAAAAGCTTAAGCGACTGGAAAGATGTAGAAGGTCAGCTTCAAGTGATCCATTCATCATCTTTGACTTTTACGTTTGCCTGAATACTTGCATATCTGATTTGAAATTGCAAAAGAAGCCCGGTCATATCTGGAATTAAGACAAGACCAGTTTTTCTTCCGATCCAACCAGAATAAAAGTTCACCGGAATATAGAGGGGTCAGGAAAGGAAAATATCACCGTAATGGCCTGCATTTCACGAAGTGGTACTTTATTGTCTCCTCTAATAATTTTCCAAGGGCAAAATTTATGGAGCAGTTGGAAAGGTAGGGTGTCAACATTTTGTTAAAATATAGTTAGTAATAAAAATATGTTTTTTAAGGTAAGGCCGATTTACCGAATACCGATAGATGATCTTGTCAGATTTTTCAAGAGTGGTTGCAACAGTTTTGTGAATTGGTTCATGAACTTCTTATCATACTGGATGGACATGTACCCATTTGATAAATCGATGATAGAATTGGCTGTGCAAGAAAATATAACTTTATTGAAACTCCCTGCTCATACAACTGACATGCTGCAACCTCTTGACAGATGTTGCTTTGGTCCATTGAATGTGAAATGGAATATAGTTTTAATTAACTGGCAAAGACTTAATCAGAGAAAACCATCTAGAAGAGAATTTAGTGATTTGATTTGTAACATTTGGAATGAAGGTTTATATGCAAAAATTATTAAATCTTCTTTGAAAAGGTTGGAATATTTCCATGCAAAAAGAACAGATATCCAGCAGAACGCTTAGATCCTGCAAAACTCCTGGATATAAAGATCATGGAGTGTCAAAAATCCACTTGATATTTTCGAAGATTGCGATGAAGAAACTCTACGGCCGCAGACCGAACAGTTTATTAACTCTGTTTTGAGATAATCTAATAGTGCTTCTCCCAAGCCATCTTGCTCCTTTGAATTATTACTACTGGAGAAACTTCGAAGAACCCCAAACATAACAGCAAGAAGAATAAAGATAGACCCTATGGCAAAAGTCCTAACAACAAAAGAGTAACTTAAAGGAAATACAGGAGAAAGAACAAAATAAAAAAGTAAAGGTGAGAAATCTACAAAATCAGGAAAGAAACAAAAGGCGAATAAAACAGTACTTGAAAGTGACAGTGAAAGCAGCATTGACGAACAGCAAGTTTACCAAAATGAAAGCGATGTAGAGGATTTGACTCTAGAAGATATTATTGAAGATGACTGTGATGACGAGCCTTCAAAAAATGGAGAAACAAACCTTGAAATTACGGAAGCATATGAACTTATGGAAAATGATTTTATCCTAACTAAATTTAATACTAAGAAGACGCAAGTTTACTACGTGGCACAAATTCTTAAAAATTTTAAGAGCGAAGTAGAAGTAAAATATCTGAAGCGCAAAGGATTTAAATTTATTTTTCCAACCATTGAGGAAAAGTACTTCATCGACAAAAGTGACATAGAAACGAAACTGTCCCTGCCAGAAATAGAAAGTGCCACCTGTCGTATCTCTCAGCAATATTGGTTTCCTATCGACATCGAAAAGTACGTCGTTCAATAATATGTAGTACAAAGTACCTAGAATAATAATGTTTTATACTTTGGTTCTTTAATAATACTTTAATAGTGGTTAAAAACGAGACACTGTTTTTAAAAAATTACGCTCTTTATTATAAACATTATAATTTTTTTACAGTGAGATACATTACATGCCTTTCTTTATACATGGCAATATGACAAAGCCTTAAAATCGGGTTTTTTGTTTACAAAAAATTAAAAGATTTAAAAATCGTCTCGTTTTTGCACCACTTGACCCACTTCTTATTTTCTTGTCAACATAACGAATACCCAATCAAATAATCAAAAACTCCTCACATTAGCGAGATACAGGGCGATGATTCAAAAATGTCGAAAATGATAGGGTTATAGATCTAGGAAACATTTTAAAAAAGTTTATTGTAATTTTTGATAGGTATATAGGGACGTGTTTGGTGGCGTAAAAAAATTTAAGGTTATCTCCCTCAGAAAATATATTACCTTCTACAGTTTTTATATAGGCCACCCTACATATTTTGACATTTTTCGTCTAAAGTTTTAATTCTCTTTTACCTGATGAGATATATCAGGAGCTTGGAAGAGAAAGGCCGAACTCTCAAAGTGGACATTTCAAAAATAGTCTCATCTTTCTCACAAACCTTTAAATCAGCGATACTCAACCTTTTTTTTCCCTGGACCGCATAGTAGCTATTGCCACAGCTTGCGGGCCGCAATCTAGGTAAAGTAGTATAAATACATATATACATATATATATATATATATATATATATATATATATTTATATTATATATTTATATATTATATATTATTTTCAAAATACTGATTTCAAAAATTCAAAATTCAAAATTAGTGGAAAAATTTAAACGCAGAATAAAATATTACAATATTACCGATGGCCAAAAGTCCCTAAAAACTTCTATAATGTTTATTTTAATAAGTTACAGGGGTGCAGGGCCGTGCCGTGCTATGATACGGCGATGCAGTCGCATCAGGCGGCATCACAAGGGGGCGGCATAATCAGTAAAATAAAAAAAAATGTCAGGCTGTGTAAAAATGTCAGAAACTATATACAAAACGAAAAGTTACAGATAATATGGCTAATGACCAAATGAAAATTT